AGATGGGCGCCCCCAAATTATCCTCCACCTCGAGGTAGCCAACATGTTTATCTTTGTCCGGTTCTAGGCCTTCGAACTCTTCCTGCCTCTTTTGGCTTCCATAGAAATGGGGAAAAGAGAAGCCTAAAGGGAGTGTTAGCGCACAAGGTCCCATATCAGACCAGCCATCGCACTCTTCAATCGTCCGCCCTTTGATGCAATTGCACTGGTTTTCCGGTTTATCCATGTTAAACATATCCGGGTCCATGGTGTATCGCACCACAGAGGTTCCAGCTACCATGTGAGGGCTTTTTCAAAAATAATCAATAGTTAAAACTTATTAAAAATATATTAATCTGACAGGCAAGCGCATACTAGTCCTTGATAAAGGGCAAAGTGCGACAGGTGTGCTGAACGAATACGTGCAGCTTATCAGCGGTGACGGGTCGTGAGAAGAACATGCCGTCGCCGCCTGCCAGCCGGTTACAGGGCGCCTCATAGGTGGGATAGGTGCTAGAATTTGTATTAATTAGAACTTCGTAAGTAAAAATTTAAACTTTTTTAAAAAGTATCTTTTTATCACTTACTGTCGTCCTTGGTATTGGTGAATGTGTCCCACGGTGTGTCCCTTTTCTGACCGCCGGTACGCCTCGTAGGGGCCCAGTTCTAAGAAGGGAATCGACGAGGTGATTCCAACCGAGTGATTGGAGATGCCAAAGAAAGTGCCATTGGTAAAATCCGGCGCACTGATGCCCAGCCAGCGAACGGGCGCCATTATCATATCTGCGTACTCAATAATCCTCATTTTTCGCCCCTCCATCAGCTGTCGAGCGGTGATCACCTCCACCAGGTCCTCTCCAGTGGCCCTCATCACCATGTTGATGGCATTGTAGACGACCGGCCCCAGGAAGTTGAGGTAAAAGTTCTCCAAAATGCTTTTTGCTAGCATGACGCCTGCCTGATGATGCCAAGGAAAATGGTGATTTTGTTAATGTGTGTTTAAAAAGCAAAAATGATAAAACTTACCAAAATAGGCGCGTTCACTGTTTGAATGCGCGTCTCCAGCAGTTTGGAGTCTTTTGGATTGGGCTCAAATTCGTAGCGCTCCATGAAGAGGACCGTTTGCTCGCGCCACTCGAGGATGCGCCGCTTTCGGTACATGCTACCGGGAAAAAGTAATTAAGTTTCCTGTTCTTAAGTACTTTTTTAAATACAAAAAAACACTCACTAGTAACAGAACGGTCCATGGTCGACCATGTACGGTTTGGCACCGCTCAGAAACTCCCAAGGATTCTGCATGCCCCAGATGTACCAGCAGGTGTTGACGGGCAGCGGTGTCACCTGCCAGATGCCCGTCACCAGGCCGTCAGGTTTCAGTTGCAGCTGAGAGTCGATGGCTAAAATAATTTAAAGGTGTCCTTGTAAATTGAAATACTTTTTCAAAACAAAACGAGAGTTTACCTGTATTGACAAGTGGATCGTAGCCAACAAAACCAATTAGGCTAATGAGAAACCATATAAGGGATTTTTTGTATAGTTTTCTTTTAGTTGGATCCGACTGGATTTGATTAGTGTAGGCCACTGTCGTTTGGCTGGTCCAGTTGTTTAGCTGACGAGGCATAGTCAGTTCGTAACTGCCGATTTTCATGGTTTTTAAAGTAAACTGAGAAGTAGTATAAGCAGATTTACGTTGAATTTGTTGTCGACATTAATTTATGAGCAAAGTTTTTAAGTTTAAAACTTAGGGTTTTCATTAATTTGAGATTTGGTTGACAATTTGAAATAAAAGTAAATTTGATGACAGGTGTCAGACTGAATAAAAGAAAAAATAAATACACAAAAAGGTAAAATGTAAAATCAAAATAATATTCAGCCGCGCAAGTAAAAGCTGCCGGAAAAAAAATGTAGTTGAAGTTTTATAAAGTTTTTATATCATTTTTTAATTTGGATCTTGACAATGAAAAGTTAAAGTGCAAAAGTGCTTCCTCTCCCGTTTGATTAACGTGTTTTTCGCTGCGCAACTTTATTTCAAGATCAGTACAGTTTTAAACGTACATGAAAATGGATTTGCAGTTATAAATTAATGGCTGGCTTTAACGACTAAAAAATCGTTAATTTTTTCACATTTGCCTGTTATGCAAACCACACAAAACTTTGAGTAAACAGCAGTGACAATTAGTGGTAAATGGCAGTAGTAAGTTCTAGGTCAGCACTAAAACAAAAAAGTTTTTGGGTGCACAAATCTGATGACACTTTTTGAAAAGATAGATAGCCGCAGTACTTTCACAAAAAGTAGATGTAAAGAATATCCGATT